CATGTTATTACTTACTCAGCTTCCACTATCTAAACACAATTCCTGCCTTTGAGACATCCCTGTTCCCCTTGGGCCCTCTGCCTGTAATTCTCATTCCACTTCCCCGCTAGTTCTCTCCTCACTTGAAGCTGCTCTGTATCCTCACACATTCTTCATTTGGGAGGTCAGTTACAGCACTTACACTTTTTTTCCTCGTGTGGAGGCAAAATGGACCCATTTTTCCTCTAGAATCTAGAGTGTAGATTTTAAGATTCTTTCAATCCACTCGACAAGAAAATTATGCAGTTTGCTTTTTTAAAAAAAGAAAAAAGGCATTGTAACAGCAACTAGAACTCAAACACAGCTCTGCAGCTCGGGGACTGGATCTCTTAGTGGGAAAGAGGCTGCAGAAACAGCTGCTGTGGTCTGCGCAGGAAGTGGGCACGTGGGCCTGTCTTCCTGACATTTGTTTCCCCTGGTCTAGGACTTTGCACAAGTCAGACGAACAGCATTTTGGAGCTGGAAGGCTTAAAAGATGGTGAAATCTAAGCTTCATGTGTCCTAGCATAGGGAACTGAGACCACAGGAGTTAGGGACTCGTCCAAGGTCATCAGGTCAGTGAGTGGCAGAGCTGGAGCAGGGCACATTCTGCCGCACCCTGACACCGCTGCTCCTCCTTGGTACACTTGGGGTGGGGTGGGGTGTCACAGCAATGAATTAGGGTTATGAACCACAGGGAATATTGTAAAAGCAAAGTATCGTCAATGGATATGTCTGAGCTGAGTGGCCAAAAAAAAGCAGGGAAGGTCTTGCAGGCCATGTAAATGTTTCTCCTTTCGTGAATGCATCATTTCCATAAAACTCCCCTCTACTGCTTCTGCACAGCTTGTCGGTAATCCATTTGTCCCCGTCTGGTATTTTCACTGTGGCATCTTTGCCATTGATATCTGGCACAGCATTTTCACTGCAAACATTTTCACCGCATAATTGGCCATATGGAAATTTTGCTGTAAAAAGGATAAAATCATGAAAAATAAGAGGGACCTTAAAAAGGACATAACAAAATTAAGAAGAGTTTATTGAGAAATATAAAATATTTGAATTCATTAAAAATGTGTGTAGCCTGGCTGGTGTGGCTCAGTGATTGAACGTCGACCCATGCACCAAGAGGTCACTGGTTCGATTCCCAGTCAGGGCACCTGCCCAGGTTGTGGGCCTAATCCCCAGTGGGGGGCATGTTGGAGGCGGCCAATCAATGTTCTCTCTCATCGATGTTTCTCTCTCTCCCTCTCTTTCCCTCTCCCTTCCTCTCTATCTAAAATCAATAAAGAAGAAAAAATGTTTTAATGTGTGTAGATTCATGCTAATACTATGCAAATAATGATTTTCTTTTGTGGATCATACCTAAGTACTTGTTTTCATCCAAGGATATTTTTCCATTTATCTTCAGATCGAGTGGAAGTGGGGGGAGAGAGAGAGAGAGAGAGAGAGAGACATCGATGTGAAAACGACACCTCCTGCATGAGCCCAACCAGGGCCGGGGACCAAACCACAATTGATCAGAACTGAACCCGGATTCTTTGGTCCGAGGGCTGATGCTCTAACCACCGAGCCAAACCAGCCTGGGCCTTAAGCACTTGTTTTTGTTCTGTGGTGAATGTGGGTTCAACTCTGCACCCTCAGAGAGGGCCTTCAGCCTCTCGCCTGCCAATGTAGTGTGTTTCAAAAAAAGAAACCAACTCTTGGGGCAAATCATCTTCACCTGAAGACATGCTATTTTCAGACCATTACCACCACCATATCTGTGGTCACCATATAGACCACTATGAGGCCTAGGTAAGATTAGTATTAAAATGGGAGTAACTGTGAAAACTTGTCAATGGAGAAATGAAACCAAACTGACAACTAGTTTAAGTACATTAAGTCCGCTGAACGCGGTTGATTCATCAATGGGGAAATGAAACCAAACAAACAAAAATCCAAACGGTCAACCAGTTATTTTATCTTTTTTTACAGCCAAATTGCCTTATGGCCAATCAGTTACGTGGGCAAAGAAGTTTGCAGCAAAAATGATTGTGACAAGGATGCTTCCGTGAAAGTACCTAGAACCAACTTTCTTTTAGAGAGTCAGGTGGTTCTCTGGTTACTGAAGCGTTCACTCACAGGAAAAGGGAAGCTTGAACGCTTGAACAGGTCTCATTCCTGGGCTGGTGCTCTTCTTGTAAGCCATTAGGAAGGTTCCATGAAAACTGCCTGATTTTGTTTTATTCCTCTAAAAAAAGTTATATAATTGAGCTGAGATTTTATTTTTTTTCAAAAGTTTCTCAAAATCATTCTTATTCTCAATAGGGCTTCAAACAAAACCACATTAAAAGTCTCGCAAGGCATTTTATCCAGAATAAGTTTGTGTTTTTAAACTGTCCTTGTCCTTCTCTTTATAAGTCACTTATCGCAGCAAAGTGTATTTATCCACAGATTTTATACATTTATTTTAAAGAAGTGAAGAAAACATTTATTTTTCCCTGCAGTTGAAAAGCAATCACAGTCTGTGTAGATTAAACAAAATATACTCTTTTATTTTTATTATTCCTATTTAAAAAAAAATTATGTATTGATTTGAGAGAGAGAGAGAAATTGAGAGAAACATCGATTTGTTGTCTCAGCTAGTTATACATTCATTGGTTGACTCTTGTATGTGCCCTGACTGGGGATTGAACCTGAAAACTTGGCATATCAAGACCATGCTCTAACCAACTGAGCTACCCAGCCAAGTTATTATTCCTACTTTGGAAAAAACAGTAGAATACAGGAATGGAAAGTATGATTATTGCCCACTAAGACTACTAAAAAAATCTCTCAAGGTTCTTAACAACTTGGTTAATTAACATTTCCTCCAACTCCCCTAGGAAGGTAACATGAATGTTTACCCTCCTCCCTGCCCCCCTTGCCTCAATTAGTAAATATGTCTCACTTAGGCTTGCTTCAAGGAAACCCCCACATGGAATAACAACCTGCCTGGAGTGTGTGAGGTTGGAACTAAGTAATGGGTAACAGAAGACCACTCTTACATCTTGCTCATTCAAACCAAAAGCCCCCCTCGCCTTAAGAAAAAGGAAAGTTTGGTTGTGAATCATTGCATAGCATTTATCTGTGCAGTGGAAAACAATAGAATATCATTATACTTATCATTATAAATATTAGTTACACTTTTTAACATGGATTCAGCATTCCACGAGTCAATTAACATTTGCAGAGAGCAAGGGGAGGCATGATAAGGGAGACAGCAAGTCTGGGCTTTGGGGTCAGACAGAACAGGACTGGATCTCAGCTCAACTAATTGTAGCAAGATTAACCTGGGCAAGGCAGGTAATCTCTTTGAGCTTTTTTTTTAACCACAAAATATGTGTGCCCTGGCCAGTTTGGCTCAGCGGTTACAGCATCGACCTGAGGACCACAGAGTCCCGGGTTTGGTTTCCACTAAGGGCACCTACCTTGGTTGCGGTTTGTCCCCACCCGGCTGGGGTCGTGTGGGTGGTGACCAGCCGATGTGTTTCTCTCACATCGATGTTTCTCTCTCTCTCTTCCTTCCTCTCTCCCTCCCACTCTATCTGAAGATAAATGAAAAAAAAAAAAAAAAGTCCTCAGGTGAGGATATGTGTGTGTGTGTGTGTGTGCGCGCGCTATCCACCTCACAGATTTATGAAAATTAAACAGAACAAAATGTAAAAACGAACACAACATAATTCCTAGCATGTAAAAGATGTTCACTGAATAGCAGCTCCCTCAGCTGACACACCTGTAAAAAGTGGGTAATAAAACCTACCTAATGAGGCCAGTGTGGGGGTTAAGTGAACCAGTTCCCTGAAAGGGCTCACCCTGGTCAGTATCCTCTCCTTGTCTGTTTCCTAGCCCCGTCTCCACCCCCACACCAAAGCTGCCTGGCTAAAAGGGCAATTCAGCATATTAGGAAATAACTTCAGAGAAAGGAAGTTTATCTTATGTCAGGTTTTTTTTTTTTTTTTACTTATCTATGGTTTTATAATTGTTTCTCAGAGAAAAAAAATAGTGAGCCAGAATTAAGTATTTTTAAAAGAATAAGAACAAGCTGAAGTCACTAGATAATTTCAACATTCTTGGAAGCCCTCGTTGTGAGGATAGTCCGAGAATGGAACAACCCCAGTCCATCCTGTTCAACTATCCAAGCATTTACTTAAAAAAAAAGTCACACTGTCACTTCCATTTTAACCAAAAGTTGAATAAGAAGTACAAGGGGCGATGCAAAGGAAAAAGAAAACTGACAAAAACAACTGAGTTCTCTTCCAAAAAAGGTCATTGGCACTAATATGTTATCTGCTGAATCCTATGAAGTTCCCAAGTAGCCACTTTTTGATAAAACAGGATGTATCAAATGTAGAATGTCTTCTTCAGGAGCCCGGTTCGGGTTCGCATATCCAGTCAACAGCACCGACTGGTCCAGCAGCACCGCTGGCGGATGTGTTCTCAGGTGTCGGCCGCCAGGTCACCACCCAAGGCGCCGATTACATTTCTAGTGATTCCCAAAGGAGGGAATGCACGACAATGTTCCTCTCATCTTAAGAACTATCCTTTATTTATTTTTGGAAAGTTCTTTGGTTAAGGTTGGATTTATTTCAATCTTTATGTACATAATTTACCCACGCCAATGAGGATGGGCAATTCCCGCTGCTCCTGCCCACTGAGTTTTTAGAACGAGGGGCTCAGAATCCCGTCCAGTTTGCACCTGAGAAGTACGGAAGAGTTTCCTTAAACAAGCACCTTTAAGTTGCAGGCACAAAGCCAATAAAAGGGGGAAAATCCATCGGAATGTCAGAATATCTTTTCCCCCTTAAAGCACTCATTTCTTTCTCCTAAGATTATTTTTTCCTGGAGGAAAACCCAGATTAAAAATGCAACCACCTTGGGAGAGAACCTTAGACCAGGCGGCATGGGCGCGCGTGGCAGCGGCGCCGGGGTCCGGGTGCGGGCGGGGGTCCCCGTGCTCGCTAGCTGCCCCCTTCCTCGGGCTCGCTGCAGGGCGAAGGTGCGGACGAGGCCTTGGACTCGCCGTCGCTGTTGCATTCGGGCCTGTGCGGGGGGCCGGCCGGGCCCTCCTGCCCCCGCGCGTGGCGCTCCAGCAGCTCCTGGAGGTGCTTGATGTAGCCGATGGCAGCGCGCAGCGTCTCCACCTTGCTGAGGCGCCTGCCCGCCAGCTCCCGGGGCAGGTGGTCTCGGAGACGAGCGTACCCCTCGTTCACGCAGCGCACCCGCTGCCGCTCCCGCTCGTTGCGCTTGCGGAGGAACGCGGGCTCGAAGGCGCCGTCCAGCGGCAGGTAGGGCCGTCTCGGGGCGCAGCACGCGGCATCCAGATGCAGCGAGACCCGGTAGGGGTCCCTCAGAGGGAGGCGGGGCAGGCTCCCTGGCAGGCTCAGGGGCACCGGGTGGAGGTGGTACGGCAAGGTCAGCAGTCCAGCCGGTTTACGTTTCTCCATCACACGCCAGAAAGCCAACAGATGAACCAAGAGGCTAATGTCTTAGCAGAAAACGAGGCCGCAAATCTTCAACGTGGAGATGACGGTCCATTCAGACTGCCTGGCACAGAAGGCCTGTTTCGGGAGAAGTGTCTGACTCCGGAAGCTCGGTTCCAGAACAGACATCAAGGAAACTGCATGACTCCGTAGCTTCATCGCACTCCTCAGTCTCTTTATAAAGTTCCAGACGGAGGTGCTAGGCGAAGATTTAGGATCCCCTAATCCACACTTCAAACCCCGTCTTCCTCTCTGATCTTCTTCTTTCAAAAGATAACAAAGGGGGTTCCTCTGCTCTGTCCCCTCGCCTGGAAATGTGAGCGCACACCAAACAGAGTAATCTTCCCAAGCCACCTAAGGTTTACAATTACTGTAATCCACTGATCTGGGTCTTCAAGAGCATTGGGATCCTCAAGGATTCAGAGGAGCTCCTCCCAGGAACCAACAGGCCTCCTGGCGGCTGAGCGAAAAGTGTACCAGAGGCTTTCTCCTTGAAAATCAAAACGTGAACTGCCCTTTGTGGTTTCCGGCGTCCAGGGCTAATGGAAAGGGCTTTTAGACTGTTTGCAAACTTACACTTGCTCTTTCTGGGGAGGTGGAGGGAAGACCTCATCAAAAGAAAGACTGCTCCCTTGTGGTTATAAAATGTGTCAAATCAAGGAAGACCCCCGGGAAGGCTTGAGGGCTTTCTTCAACAAAACCAAATCTTTTAAAAACCCAATTAGACATTGTTTGAAGGCGACAGGGATGAAATATACTTTAGCAACGAATATAAGGGTCTGCCTAGTATGCTCCAACTTATGGTGAACGCAGGGCGCTTTATGTATTTGTGCTACTCTTCAGGAGCACATCAAAAGACTGAGCAACAACAAACACTTTTCGCCAGTTATATCTCACAGTGCTTACTGTAAACACAGTTTAAACACTGCTTTCCGACCTCTTCTAATCCCACCCAGGATATAAGGACGTCATCTTTCCAGAGTGTAAAGAGTATATTTCTATTGTATTCTTGTGTGTGTGTGTGTGTGTGTGTGTTTCGAGATGCAATTTATTTTCTCCCTTGGGGGCAGGAAAGCAATAGTGAAAGGTGCAGAGTCCCAGTTCCAAGGAGAAAGGATGATGGCTTTGAAGACTTTTCTTTTTAACACACAATCAAAAAATGAATAATTAATTCACCAGTGTTGGTGAAGGGCTTTGAAGATGAAAGTGTCATTAAAAATCCACTGTACCAGTTAATGTCAAAGAATGTGTTATCACGCTGAAAAATCAGATTTCCTGTTCTGCAAACCAACACATTAAAGGCAGCTTCTACTTTAAAAGTCCAACTTAAAAACAAGAGAAGCAAAAAACCCCCTACATTTACGATCAGACTTTCTGCCTATTCCTTGGGAGCCAAGGTGTCGCCCTAACATGTTTTTTTGACAAGTCCTTTGCTTCCCTGTTTACTCTAAATGATCTGCCCGAAGCAACTGGAAAAACACTTCCATCAAGGCAAATAAACTAGAAATAATTATTCCTTTCAGGCATAAGTTAGTCACGTTTTAAAAGGCATAACTCCCTATGAGGCTTGTTCCGGCAAACAAGCTAATATGTCATCTTAATTTCTCAGTAGAGTTAGATCCGGAGAAGTCCCTTCCTGTCCGGAGGAGAGCCCACCAGAGAAACAGATAGATGATTAGATCACAAGGTGCTTTTTTTCATCATGTCAAAGATATTGGCCTTTATTCTAAGAGTGACAGGAAGTAAATAGAGTATTTTGAGCAGGGAGGTGATGTAGTAAAATGTATTTGTCAAAAAGATCACTATCTGCAGAGTGGAGAATAGACTGGGGTGGGAGGAGCGAAGGAGAGAACAGTTAAAATATATTTTTTATCCTCAGACTGGCAGAAATGACAAAGATTGCTAGCTTCCAGGGCAGGCAAAGATTTGGGGAAGGGGTAGAAGCATAAATTGCTACAAGCTTTTGGGAAAGTATTGAAAGTAATAGTGAGCATCACATGTCCTTTGACCTGAAGATCCCTACAATTTTGTCCAAAAATAAATGCACCGATATGGATTTCTGTGTACACCAATATGCAACATTGTTTGTCGTGATTTTAAAAAAGGAAACAGCCTGAATGTCCGTCAATAGGAAAAGAGCTAATACTTTAGAATATTATGCTATTATTAAAAATAAGGGGTTAGCCCTCGCCGGTTAGAGTGTCAGCCTGTGGACCAAAGAGTCAAGGGTTTGATTCCAGTCAAGGGCACATACCTTGGTTGCAGTTTGGTCCCTGGCATTGGTTGGGGTCGTGCAGGAGGCAGCCAGTCGATGCGTCTCTCTCACATCGATGTTTCTCTCTCTCTCTTCTCCCCTCTCTCCCTCCCGCTCTATCTGAAGATAAATGCAAAAATGTCCTCAGGTGAGGATAAAATAATAATAATAATAATAATAATAATGAGTTACATCTATATGTAAGAACTTGCAATGTGTCCATAATGTGTTAAATGAAAAAGAGCAAACTGCAGAGTAATGGTATCCAGCTTGAAGTCAAAACAAACTATTCTTTGTGACACATGTCTTCACGTGTGTTTGCGTGAGCCCAGAAAATGAAGTGGAAAGACAAACACTGAATTTTTGTCATTGCTTGCTTTAAAAGGTTGGCATTGGGGATGAGGGTGTTTATTTTTCTTTATGGATCTCTCTACTATTTAACTCATCACAAAAGAACACATTGTTTTTGTATTTTTTAATCTAATGAAGTTTAAAATAATAAGAATGTAAAGAAAGCTTAAAGGACACCCTGATCTGACCCAAACCAACAGATTTATTATAATTTAAAGCTCTTGGACCAGGTTTTCAAGCTCTTTATAAATTTGAAGAATAATTACCCACAGGACTAAGTTCCTCTCCCCACCCCCTACTAATACCACAATCTAAAATTGTCGATCTCGCCTGGCGGTGTGGCTCAGTGGTTGAGCGTTGACCCATGCACCAAGAGGTCCCTGGTTCGATTCCCAGACAGGGCACATGCCCAGGTTGTGGGCCCGATCCCCAGTGGGGGGCATGCGGCCAACCGATGCTCTTTCTCATCGATGTTTCTCTCTCTCCCTCTCCCTTCCTCACTCTCTAAAAGCAATAAAGAAGAAAAAAGTTAAATTAATAAATAAATGTTTAAAACAATAAAATAAAATAAAATTGTCGATCCCATAGTGGTCTTTTTATACGGCCCAGGTGATGTTGTGATGTATCTACATAGTCACAAAGAATGCTGATAAGAGTTTTTCTTACGCCTTTTGAAGGCATACATGCATTGGAAATAATTGGCTTTTCCAGTGAGAAGCATCGTTTTACTCACATGATCTGAAGGTGGGGTGGGGAAGCTGCCTTCTTCAAGACAAAAGAGATCAAAAGAGGAGGTTCTGACTCCCAATCACTCCCCAGTCAGTTTTGACCCAAACCAACATTCTCTCCAACTTTAAAGATGTTTCCCATAAGACTGGCTAGATCAAGTTACAGGTATGCTAAACCTCCAAAGACGCCGGGACTAGGTTTGTGTAATCCTATGTGGATCTGCCAGCCACTAAAGATCAGGTTCAAAGCCCTGGCCAGGTAGTTCAGTTGGTTAGAGCATTGTCCCGATATGCCAAGGTTGCGGGTTCGATCTCTGGTCAGGGCACATACAAGAAGCAACCAGTGAATGCATAAATAAGTGGAACAACAAATCGATGTTTTTCTCTCTCAAATCCATTTTAAAAATGATCAGGTTCATTAGATTTAAAGGTATTTCTTTTTTTTTTATCCTCACCCGAGGACATTTTTCCATTTTTTGTTCAGATAGAGCGGGAGGGAGAGAGAGAGAGAGAAAGAGAGAGAGAAACATCGATGTGAAAGGGACACATCGAGTGGCTACCACCCGTACGACCAACCAGGGCCGGGGACAAACTGCAACCGAGGTACACGTCCTTAGCAGGAACCGAACCTGGGTCTTTCTGGACCGCAGGCCGACGCTCTAACCGCTGAGCCAAACCGACCAGGGCTAAAGGTATTTCTAAGGTCAAGAAAAACCTCCATCTCTAAAACTCAGGTCCTTTGTCACTTGCTTGAAACGTGAGGTGAAGAGACTTTGATCTGCTCTTGTGAAATATTTGATATTACATTATAGATTTGGGTTTCCTAGGCTCATGGCACAGAGGTGTATATAGTCGTGTGGCCCCATAGCTGTCTCGAGGGAATGAGGAAACATACATACAGTGTTATCACCTCATGAGAGAAATCATATTCCTCACAGGTGTAGCTCACTACATCTCAACTTGCTTATATAACATTTTATTTTACGTTATTTAATTTTATTTTTTTTGGTACGTGCCCCTAGCGGGAACCGAACCCAGGACTCTCTGGTCCACAGGCCAAGGCTCCAACCACTGAGCCAAACTGGCCAGGGCTCAACTTGATTATATAAACGATTCTATCCAATTATATAGTGTTTTTCTATATAGCTCCGGTATAAACTATCAACATCCACCAGGGGTCTTCTTAGGTACAACTAAACATGGAGATTCGCTAAGACTACCATGTCCACATTTAGCATAAGATTCATTGGGAAGGGTACAGGTCAGGAACGACAGCTTGAAACAGGGCAGAATTAGGGGTTTCACCTCCCCGGGAGTGCTTGTAATAATCCATGTGATGGTACAGCTGCCCCCTCCTAACCTGCCTGAAGCCAAGTGGCAGCTCAGGTGCGAGGAAAGACTTGCACCCGATTCCTGTGGCCGCTGCCCTGACTTCGAAGTCTCACAGCCCTGAGAAGCCGATCTTTCTTGTACACACCTCACAGACATGGCTTCTAGGACCCACCAGGGCCCAATTAAAGAGTTTTCATACCCAGGAAAGCCCAGAGCTATGCTCTCCCATCAGGTAATTATAGTTTTGCCAGCCAAATGCAATTTACCAATCAAGTAATTGCTTTAATATAAGTAATGTT